AGCCCCATTGGTGTCTTTTATTATTTTTTTTCTGCTACCAGGCATCAAACTTGGCACCTTGTACTTCCCAGGCAGATGCTTATGCCACTGAGCTGTATCCCCAGCTATAATTGATGTATTTTTAAATTTCAGTTGTTTCTAAAAATTCATTCATTCATTCATTCATTCATTCATTCATTCATTCATTCATTCATTTGGTACAGGGTTTGCTATGCAGCTCAGACTCGTAATGTTCCTCCTGTCTCAGCACTGGGATTACAGGTGTGCGACACCACACTTGGTCTCCATGGCTGGCTCATTCCCTACCAAGGACAGAAGCCAGGTCCTTCTGCTTGCCAGGCAGGCACTTAGACCACCAAGCTTTCACTCCAGCCCCTTTTGATATATTTTGAGTATGGATAAAGGTAAATATTTTTCAGGACTCTTGAATATACTTTTGATCTTTTTTTATTTATTCTTATTTCAGTTTCATACTGTCTTGATTCCTATGGTTCACAGTAAATTTTCAAATGAAATGTATAAATCCCCAAACTTTACATTTTTCAATTTATTAGCTATTTAAAGTTCTTCAAATTTATATATTACCTTTGGATCAACTTGACAATTGCTGGCCAGAAATCAGCTATTAGAGGTTGCATTTTATCTAAAGATCAATTTATATAAATTGTCATCTAAAATATTTAATATTCTGAAATATCTGTATTATCAGATGCCTTCTATTTACTTAGAGCTTCTTTAACGTCTTCCAATAATATTATAGTCTTCCTAGAATAAAATTTTGTCAGATTTTTATTGCTAAATTTATTCTTTGTTAGATTATCTTTTAATACTATGGTAAATAAAATTATTTTCCTAATTTAATTTTTAAATTGTTTATGAATGCACAGAAATACAGCTTATCAAATTTGTAATCTCCAAATAGATTAATTTTAGAAGCTCTAGTCTCTCTCTCTCTGTCTCTCTCTGTCTCTCTCTCTCTGTCTCTCTCTCTCTCTCTCTCTCTCTTACTTAGGAATAAAGAATAATATGGTTTCAAAGTAGAAATGGAGTTACATCTTTTCCAATTTGGCGTTTTTCATTTCATTTTTTTGATCTAAATAAGCAGTCTGTAATTTCCATTGAAAAGATTACATTTTTGTAACTATTGATGTGATTCTTTTTTTGTTTTTCTGTATTTTACAGAAGGGTCTACAGGGTGTTCGGGGTCTCATTACTAGATCGGACTCATAGTGATCCACCTATTTATAGCCTCCCAAGAGCTAGGATTACAGGCGCGTGCCACCATACCTAGTCTCAATCACCTTCTCAGCACACCCCTGGGGTGGGGCCTGCCCAGCAGACTGGTGGATTGAACCACTGGCCCCTGTGCCTGCTTGCAGGTGCTTTAATCTGCTGAGCTATTGGGCCGGCCCTTGATGTGATTCTTATACATATCATTTACTAATTAAATTATGAATCAACTTTGTATTTAAGTAAATTTTGCATCCTTGGAATAAAAGCTTCTTGATCATGGTGTGCAATCATGTTCATATATTACTGTTCTGTTTGCCAGCATTTTCTTTATTGGGAATTTATTTAAAGCAAATATTATGCTTTAATTTTTCTTCTGTTGTGATATCTGTGTCACATTTTAGTATCAAGGAACAATTTCTATAAAATGAATTGCTGTGTGTATTTGTTCTTTCTTTTTTTTTTTTTTTTTTTTAAGGCTGGGATCAAACTCAGGACCTTATGCTTGCCAGACAGGCACTTATGCTACTGAGCTATCTCCCCAGTCCCTATGTCATGTGTATTTTCTGATTTTATATTTGTAGTTCTTTGTAGAAAAATTGTTACTGATTCTTCTTTGGTATTTGACAGACTTCACTAGTGAATCTTTCTAGTCCTGAAATTTTCTTTCTAAGTTTTAAAATGTAATTTAATGTCTTTAATTGATATATATCTGTTCAGATATTTTATTTCTTTTGAAAATTTGTATCTTTTCAGACATTTGCTCATTTCATCTAAGTTATCTTGTTTTGGTCATAATATTGTTACTGATATTACTTTAAAATCCTTTTTATTTGTGGGAGGACATTATAACACAATCACGTTCATTCCTTATGCTATTGAGTTTAATATCTGCCTTCTTTCTCCCTCCCACTTTAGTCTGTTTTGCCATTTTGTTTGTCTTGTTACAATATAAATTTTTTATGTATTGGTTTCTCTTACCTATTTTATAATTTCTATTTCAGTAGTTTCTGTTATAATTTTATTTATTTATTTATGCACATTTGTAGTACATGCAGCTTAATCATCTTGGGGAGTGGGTACATGAATTTTTAACAGCTTATTTATTTCTTTTTTTTTTTTTTTTGAGTTCCACTTATTCCTTTTTCTTTCTTTTTTTCCCATAATTTTATTGAGAAACAAATATCAATGAGACAGTTTCAAACCAAATTGGTAGGACAGTTTCAATAACTAACACATTGCATACATTCATCTTATTTATTTCTTAATCCCCTTCCTTTTCTCTCCACATCCCTCTGTCTGCTTCTGAATCCTTTCCCTCCACTGTGACTCTTGTTGATATTATGAATCTTGTCTCCTGTTTATTACATGTAGTGTACGCATTCATTGAGGCTGTTAGGTCCCTGGGCATGGCAGTTTCTGTTCTCCTTATTCCCGCTCCTCTTGCCCTCTGTGCCTGTCCTAGGTCTCCTAAGCCCCTCATCACAGGCAGGAGATCTAAGCCTGTGTTTGCGTCTATCCACCCTTTATCACATTCCTTGTCCCTTGCCGTGTTGAAATGAGAGATCCACATGGCACGCAAGCTTCTGTGTCTGATCTATCTCACTGCACACACGTTCTAGGTGCATCACTTTTCCTACCAGTTACTTTTCGAACTATAGTTCTTTTATCCCTTATTTTACAGTGGGAGGACAAATTACTGATTTTCTCTTTTTTTTCACTGATTGATTTTAGTAGTGGAGAGGAAGGCACAAAATTCATATATCCTAGTAAAATGCTCTTACCACTGACCTACACTCCCTGCCTATTATTATTATTATTATTATTATCTTAATTTTATTGTTTTTACTATTACAGGCATTGATAACTATAATTTTCTCTAGCATGCAACAATTTTTCTTATCCCATTATTTATGGAATATTGTATCTTTATTTCTTTTACTCTTGAAATTTTATATTTTTTTCTTGATCATTATTTGCTTCCTTGTTTATCTGGGAATATGCTGTCTGATTTTCACATATATGCACTGACTGTTCAGTGATTTATTCCTGTTATAAATTCTGCTTCATTCCATTTTATCATAAATCGTATACTGTTGTCTTTGATCCTTTTAAAATATTGAAATTTGGCATGGCCTTAGGCAGGCACAGGCACTAGGGTTCACACAAGCCCTGCCCCCAGGCATGCTGAGCTGGCCACCAAGACAGGGTGGTGGGATTACACCTATAATCCTAGAGCTGGGGAAGCTGAAAACAGGAGGATTACTATGAGTTTGAGCTGTGTAGTGAGACCCTGTACCAAATACATAATAAATAAATAAATAGTATTGAGATTTGTTTTATGGCCTGTACGTAGTCTACCCTGAAGAATATGGACAATATTTTGTGTAAACTTGAGAAAAAATTGTATTTTATTATTTTTAGGTAGTTTCCCATTTTTATTAAATATATTTGAGTTAGAGTGGTGTTCATGGTTTTTGTTTTCATTTTCATCTTCTGCCTAATTGTTGCTTAGTTCATTCAGGCTAAGTAGAATTATGTCCAATTATTATAAATTGCCTGATTTCTTCTTGGTTCTGTTAATTCTTTCCTCTTGTATCTTGGGGCACAATTATTATGTGCATGTAGTTGTATAATTATATTATAATTACTTTATATGAATTGTAATATTTATCACTTTGCATGTTCCGCATTAGGTCTATTGAAATTTTAGTCTATTGTTTCATGTATTTGAAGTGGTTTTTTACATGACATATATTTTCCATTTTACTTTCAACCTATTTCCATTTTTGAATGTAATGACTGGACTATATATAAATTGTGTCTTCCTTTTTATTTAGTATTGCAATCTCTGATTTTTGGGTGGCTTTTGAAAGCCATTTTCATTTATTGTTTGTTGATATAGTTTGATATAGATCTACCATTTTACTTTTGCTACTAAATATCTCATGGTCTATTAAATTTTTTTTCTCTTTTTTGTTTTCTTTATTCATTAATTGAACATTTTCTACTGAATAATACTTTGACTTATTTTCAATGTTTTTCTCTATACTGAGTCATTTTCTTAATAGTTATTCTAATGTTCATTATATATAGTTTATCAGAATTTACTGCTTAAGTATGCTGCTTTCATATTTCTACATGCTATAATCCCATATCAATATCATTATACAATATCATTATATAAATTGTGTACAAACACACTAAATAATTTAAGAAAGAAGTGATGAAATAGGCATGTATTAATTTTTATTAATGTCATACTTACATCTATATTTGTGCATGTGTCTATTATTTTGGGTCACCGATTCTCAGGCTGAAAAGTTTTCCTAAATATTTATCTTAAGGCATGTCTTCTAGGAGTGAGTGCTCTTAGTTTTTATTTACTTGAGAAAGTTATTTCTTTGCATTTGTCTTTAAAAATATCTTTGATGGGGGAAGGCAAGGTAGCTTAGTGGAATAAAGAGCCTGCTTAGGTAAGCTTAGGCAAGCACAGGGACTGTAGTTCAATCCCTGGCACTACATGCAGTGCCAGTCCCACTCCCAGGGTGGGCTGAGCCAGACACACACACACACACACACACACACACACACACACATACATGCATATATATTAGAAACAATATATATTATGTATTATATATATAATTTTTGTTGAATGTCAATTTTTTATTGTTGTTTTTTTCCCAGTATTTTGAAAATTCTAACCCTGTGCCTCCTGGTCTATAGTGTTTTTGATGTGAAATTAGTTTCTTTTTTTCTTTTCCCCAAGAGGCTGTACCTTTCCTGGGGTTACTGCAACACCAGGTCGATGCCTGGATTGCACAGAGCAAGCTCCTATCCCATCTCCCAGCTCCAAAAATCTGTCTAATATATAGTCCTCAGCTAGAGAGTGCAGCAGATGTTAAACTAATAAGAACAGATACTACACTTGATCATAGCCAGAAGGCCAAGAAGTGATAAATTTAGGTATTAATTTTATTGGAGTTCCTTTGTATATGACAAATACTTCCCTGTAGCTTTGAAGACTCTCTTCATGTTTGGATTTGTATATTTTTGGTAAATTATACCTGCTATGAAATATTTTTATTTACTTTCTTTGTATTTATCTTCCTTGTAGTTGTTATTTACTTGGTTATTTGCCTATAATTCTAGATTAGTTTAATGAAATTCATTCTTTACTGTGTGAACTCTCTAACATTACTTTTATGATGTGCAGTCTTGCAATTATGCATCATTATATTAGGAACATGGTTCTTTCTCCAGTCTCTGTTTATATGAACATCTCCACTGGTATTATACTCAGCATTAGGGTCCAGATAACATGGGATTATGTGTGTAAGTATTTTTTAAAATTGTTGACAGTACCCTAAGGCAGAAGTCTTTCCACAGTCTGATTAATTAAATTCAGGCATCTTTGCTATGTTAATTTTTAAGGCCAACATTTGAGGTCAATTATGACTTTGAAAATACTCCTTAGTTATTTTTTTCTTTTTTCATTCTGGTAAACTTACTGCGTCGTGGCTAAGAAGGGTTTGAGAGCCGCTCTTAATCATGTGGCAGGAAAATCAGCATTGTTTTGGAGGGTGCCTTTTGTCTTGATATTTCCCATAATCCATTCTAAATGAAGTCAGTTCCTTTAGGGAAAATTTCAGTGTTACTTTACAGTACACACGTCTCTCTGCAGTCTAAATATCTGACTCATTACTTCAGAGCTAAGGATCTGGACAAAAGCTGTATGGCATGATGAATACTCTGTACAAAGAGAAAGTAGGGAGTAGGTAATTTTTGAAAAAGTTGAATTTTTTACAGTTCTTATTGGAATTTAATAGATTTTCTTGAATATATGACTCTTAATTTGCTATCCATTCTTTGAAATTTTTCAGAAACTTTAGTTTTATTTTGTTTTTTAAATATAATTTTTTTTTTATCAATTATGGTTGTTTCCCTGGATAGCTAATCCACAGAGTGTCTCATATTAGTAAACAGAAGTGAAGAATATCAGAGGTTCTAAATTTTCTGAAGAATTCATGCTAAAAAAGCATAACAGAAAACAGAAAGATATAAAATTTCTTTTTTTATTAATAAAACTTTCTGTAAATTGCTTGAATTTTCTGACTGTCCATGACTGTTCCAGCGTAGTTTGTTTTGTTCAGTACTGATAAGTTTTTAATTAATTTCATTGAGAAAGAAATAGCAATGAAATAGTTTCAAAACAGGTTAGCAGAACAGTTACAATAACTAATACATTGCATATTGTCTTCGTAATAGTTATTCATAGTAAAAGATGCAGACATGATATCTTGTCTACATACAATTAGTACCAATCTTTCCTTTCACTGAACTAAGAGAAAGTAGCTGTATATCTATCCAAACTCTTATATATATATATGGTTTTTTTCACTGCAAAATGGTCCTTCATTGATATCCCTTGCTGGTATAGTTTTGTCAGAGTTGGGTATTCCTTTGCCATTTCAAAATTGCAGGTGTATAAACTCAGCAAAAAAAATCCAAGAGAGTCCAGTTGTCCATAATAGTAGTGCGTTATCCACAGAACTAGAAATGGCAGAAGTTGTTGACTTGAGCCTTTTACAGCTCAGCATTTTAATATGGATTTACTTTTTTTTTTTTCCAGAACCAGGAAATAAACTCAGGCCTTGCGCTTGCCAGGCAAGCGCTTACTCTACTGAGCCATCTCCCCGGCTCATGACTTTACTTTTTACATCTCATTGTATTGCATTATTAACGCAGGCAAAGACTTCTAAACCAACTAGACTGCCTAAGAAAGTGTAATGGCAAAGATCTCAGGATCGATTCACATTTTGCCTTTGCATAGGGCATCTATTCATGGTACTATCTGAATATTGAAGGTTAGGTAGGAATCATTCAGGAGAAATTGGGGGTTAAGTAGGGGAAGAGAAAGAAGAGGAAAAAGAGAATGAGCACTGGAGGGAAAGGCAGGAATAACAGTACGTCAGAGACAGCACATGGGGCCAGCCCAATAGCTCAG